TAGTTAAACATATTACATAAACTCTTTTAAATAATAAATAGATAAATATTTTATTTATTTTAAAAAATAAACTCTTATTTTTTTACTAATTTAATATATAATAAATAAACATATTATTTAATTACTTATTTTGATTGGTAACAATAATACTTAAATATTATTCATTTGATGTTTTATTGCTATATGTAGGTGACCCTATAGATTCATATCTAATTAAAAATATATTGAAATATTTAATTATTACACATAAATCCAAGAGACTCCTACTTATGCACATAACAAAAAAGAATGATATATATATATATTAATATTATATATTATATATAGAATATATATAATATTATATCTATATATATAATAGATATATATGTCCAAAGTTAAACATGTAGCAACACACTACTCCCCAAAATGACATGAATATTTGTCTCAACAAAATATACTTTAACTTGTAATGTTAAATTACTTGTCCCCTATGTCCTATTTTTCTAATATCATTGAACATGCGATATAGACCATATCATTCTCATATTAGTTTAGTATATGTTTCTTGATTTGTAAACTCAAATAAGATTATTATACTTAATTGACCAACTTGTCAATATATTTTGGGTGTATCAAACACTCATATTTTTTCGACTCATTAAGAGGCCTATTGATATCACATTCCAACAAGCAGAGGAATTTACACCTTCTTGATTATATGCCTTTAATTTAAGCTTTGCAATATATCTTATAGTTTCATTAATATCTGTCTTATTTACAACACTGTTTAATTACTTAAAAAAATATAATGAGTCACTTATTAACAAAACGAACATATATCTCAAGTCAAAGGATATATAGACACAATCATGTTCAAGATTTATCCGGTGGTGTCGATCTATAATGTGGCATTTTGAGACTTGGTCTATCTAATATTCACCACCGGTGAATACATGTAAATTTTGGCTTTAAAAAAAAAATCTTATTCATCAACTATTAATATTTTCTAACATTCATATTATTCTTAGTTCATAGTTATTCACACAATATGATAGATTATGGAGGTTTAAAATAACCAACTATTATTCATGGATTAAACATACTAATATAGAACACAATAATATTTACGAAAACAAGCATACCAATTATATTAATTCATAACTTAAACAAAAATTGATGCAACATACAAATGAAATAACAGTAGACTTGCTGATTCTTACGAAATACCCAAGATAATCTCTTCCAAGCCATGTTGATTCTATAAATACCATGAAACTAGGCTTCAAAATATTGTTTCGAACACGTATAATTTGTGGAGGAAAATGAAGTTTATTAATTAAAAGAAAGATTATTTGCAAGTACATCATGAACAGGGCTAAGAACACAACTCATGGAAAAATAAAAAGTCTAAAGTAATTCTAGAACTATTAAATACTCATTATTAAACTAATAAAGACCCATTATGGAAGCATTTAATAGGCCAATTATGAAGACTCTTCAACTCATTTGGGCTAGTTTGTCACTCGATCATGGGCCTCTAGAAACATTATGAATCGATCATCCATGGTAGGGCCCGCATCAAAACTGCTTAATGTTTTGCAAATTGAAATGAGCTACTAACATAAAGAAGTCCAACACCTATGGAATGATCATCATCTTTGCATGAGGCATGTGTTTATAATCCGTTTAGCTAGTTTTATTTGTATGACCTTTAGGAAACATTAACTTTATTTGTTATGGATAAAATGAAATCCTCGTCAAATGTTTCGACTACCATCAGTAATTCTTATTTCCTTTGCAAGTACCAAGGTTCCAAAATTGTCATAGTAGATCTCCATAGGTATTCTAATGTCTTGTAGTATGCCAAGTTAAATAATGTAATTCCAAATCCAAATAACTTATGTAGTTTCCTCATATGAATTTTGACTCATTTATAAACTATACTAACATGATCTATTATAAGCTATTCCAGTCAGTTGTTTCTTTATTCATAATGATACATAAGTCGAAATGGATCGAGAATCATCCTGATTAGTTTGGAAGCTCACATTAGTGTAGCACTTTAAGACGATATCCTCACCAAACCTCCATAAACTAAGAGTATATCTTCAGCCCTTCATAAGTATTATATGATATTAGTTTAGTAATCCAATGATATTCATCAGGGTGCTGTTGATATCTACTAGTCCTGCTCAAAGAATATGAGACATCTGGTCTATTATATAACATGACATACATGATGTATCTAATGAAAGAATCCAAAGAAAACTCTATTCATGTGTCTTACCTTAGTAGGAGAATAATACATAAGACACAATCCTTTGAATTTTGATATATGTTGTCTCGTAAGTAGATGTAGTGTCATGTATTGATGTATGTTCAATAATGTTCTAATCAATGCAGATATAAAGGCTACGATCATATGTGATATGAAGCTTATTTAGGACATATATAGTCAATAGGTGGATTTATCCCTCTAGTTAGTGGAATGTGAAATTGGCCGGGCACCTAGGTAGAATCAAACAAATGTAAGTGTATACCCATACTAATCAATATTAATAGTAAAACAAAGTCTATTATCTTATCTAAATTTGAAGATCGAGAAACTCATATACAACGTATATGTGAATGATTAAATTCATGCCTCATGTTCAGTTGTATTAGATAAAGGGAAATAAATACGACGATGTATTCACCATTAATAGTTAATGAAAGATTTTTGGAAACAAATACACATATATGATCTGGGTAATTGACAGGTTGTTAGAGTTTAACATTATATATATAGTTGATTTTTTTGTCCCTGGTATAAGTGGGAATTTGTTGGAAAATTATATGCAAGATACAAATAATTTACTATTCTAGTGATTATCTATAACACTATGGAGTACACACTAATAGCCACAAAAGGGTTTGAAAATAAATAACAAATCTATATAATATATTATTATTTACCAACTAAAATAATAACTAAATAAAGAGTTTTTTGTTATTTATTAATATAACTTCTTTATTTATATTGAAAGTACGTTATTATTTTTAAAACAAGTTGCATAACACCATTATACTAGCAAACATTACTTCTTAAATCTAGTTACAAAATATAAGTTTGTGCTACTAATATCCATGCCACATTCAAGGTATAATTTAATATGTACAAGATACTTATCAAATGTATCCAAAGACATTGTATCCAAATTTAAGTTAACAAAATATTTATCCAAAATATGTTTTAACTAAACCGTTTTCCTTGCCTTTATTATTAGAGATTGAACCTAGAAAGTTGATACTTTCAAAAGTAAACAGTTAATCTTAATGAGAATTATATAATTATCATAAAACCATTCTACTCATAATTTGGTAAAACATTTTGAAATTTCCGTTACTAACTCTCTTCTTGTGAAAAGATTCATTTAAGTATAAGAAAATGGTTCTAAATCTTAATGAGAATTATATAATTATCATAAAACCATTCTACTCATAATTTGGTAAAACGATTTTGAAATTCCGTTACTAACTCTCTTCTTGTGAAAAGATTCATTTAAGTATAAGAAAATGGTTCTAAAGAACTTTATGCATACACTAAATCTAACTAAGCTTCCATATATATATATCTATCTATATATATATATATATCGATATTATATATATCTAATATCTATATTATAATATATATATACATTACAGTCCATATATGTACTTCGACCATATATGACCTCATCGATACAACTTGTTTGTAAAGGTTGATAGCCATTTATGTATTTCTTCCATGTAAGATTTAAATTATACATGACATCCTTACTAGAAAATCTACATTTTCCCATTTGTATCTTGTCCCTCAACCTCTACTTACCATAATTATGGTAATCATACCTATAAGTTAGTTCAGTTGTATCTGATTTGTTGTATAAGTAAGAATTTAGAATGACATTTTACTCAACTTGGTAAACTTGTTGATGTTTATCTTTTTCCTTTACATGAACTATCCAAACTACAATTTATCACATACCCATATTAACAAACTAAATTAAGTAAAGTCCTCATGTATGCTTCATCATTCATTACAACATTCATGATAATGATAAACAAACTCTATCAATAACATTGTTCTTGCATCAAATATATCATTTCATAATCCATTTACTCATTTTTAGTGATTCTAGACATTTTCACAAGATAACCAAAAATCATAATTCAAAACATGTTAACATTGAAAGAAAACATGTTTATAAAATTCATTCCATCAAAATTCAGTCAATTCTAATATGCACCACCAGTACCAAATCCAGGGTTCATAGAAAAGTTCTCATTATTCATTAATTCTATCGTTGAAATGTAGATATTTGTAAGTGATTACCTTCAATCTAAGATAAAGGAAGATCAATCTTGTTTTCCCCTTTTGATTCCTAGTTTATTACACCAAATTAGGGAGTTAGTTACATCATTTCACACCTAAGAATACTTCTATAAACATGGGAAGGTTTGAAAACAAAATGACTTCACTTGCCACTTAAACCTATAGTCAAACAAAGTCAAAATGGACACCTCGACACGGTTTGTGTAATGCATGTTGGTGTCCAACTTGGTTCGTATATAACAATTGGAGTCTTTTATTTGCTATTTTTCTTACACATAAATTTAGTAAGGGATTGCCTTAGGGCCTATTCGGTATGAGTAGAAGGACTGAGAACCCTATTTCGTTCACTTATGTTTTATAAATCTTCGAGAACACTTTTTTCTCACATTAGTAACATAATAACATCCTATATTATATATATATATATATATATATATATATAGAGAGAGAGAGAGAGAGAGAGAGATAAGTTCATGTATTCTAAGTATTTATTGTATGGATGTAGGAATCAATGTAGTTCAATCATTTCAAAAGGGTAAATTTGTAATCTTACAATTAATTAATTATGGTAAATATATAAATCAATTAATAATATCCCTTTAATTTAGGAATATCAGTTTTAAAACACAATATTTCATTGACCCTTTCACCGTTGTCTGCACTAGCCCTTCCTGTCATCTTCTTGTATGGCAGGTGGCTTTTCTTTTTTAGTCTCCCGCCGTTTCTGTATCGCCGACATGATCGATTTTTCCGGGGACGGAGGTGGGAACAGCCATTTGAACATTCTCCTTGGTGTCCCTGCCGATGATGGAGTTGCCCCAACTCCCTCCGGGTATGGGATCTGCACTCGACTCCCGCTGTAAGAATGAAGTGGAGTGTCGCTATTGGAAGCAATGTCGTTCACTTTACCAACAAAGCCACCTAGAGCCAGCGATTTTTGTGGAATTTTGTTTCTGCCACCGGTGGTTGATCCATGGTTAACGTCATCTTTCAGGGTTGAGGCTGCGACGGTTAATTTACTTTCTTTCTACCAAATTCTCGCTGCTAAGATTTATGTTCCGCTTGTTTATGAACAAACTATAATCTGTTTTATGATATTGAATTGTTGAAAATACGCATTTTGATCATGTTCTGATTTTGCAAGTATTTTCATCTTCTTATTTGATTTTTTTCGTGGAAATATTTCTCTTGAACAGTAATTATGTGATTCCAACAAGTCATGGCGGTTCAGAACTCTTGAAGAACACTAAAATAATTCTATGGGAATATTGCACACCAGGTGTTTGTAGAAATGCCTGAAAGAGAACTTGATGTTCAAATTCTTGAAGAACACAAAAATAATTTCCGAGTTTCTTATTTGTGTTACTTGGTTCTAACATGTGGTATGAGTTCTCTTAGAATTACTAAAATTTGTTTTATTTTTTTCGTATAAAAGTATTCTCATATAGTTTTATTCTTACATAATTCAATTTCATGGCAGTTATTCTCATAGAATGCATGAAGGACGTGATGATCAATGGCCTGAAGGTTGGATGAATGTGTGGGATGGAGATGAACAATCATCAATGGTCACCGATCTTCCAAAAAAATGCATTATTTATTTTTCATATTCTGGTAGAATAATATATAATAGAATGATAAGAGTATATGTAAGTATATTCCAATAGAATAAAATATAAAGTTTTTTATTTTTTTCAAGGATATGATAGAAAATTTTAACTTTGATCTAAAAATTTGTTATTTTTCGAGAAGTAAGATGTAACGCTTGGTTCAGGAATTATTTATTTCTCAACATTTTAAGGTTTGGGCTGGAACTCGACGAGTTGGGGAGCTTCAACTCGTCGTGTAAGGATTCATTTGGACGCAGGATTAAGGACTCAACCCGACGAGTTGGGGAGCCCCAACTCGACGAGTAGACGATGGAAAGGAAAATCCTAATTTTTAGGGTTTGCATCCTATTTAAAGGCCTTAAGACTCATTGTTAGCTTCCCTTATCGCCCCTTTGTCCATAGAAACCCTAGTTCGTGCTTTTCCCACCATTTTGAGTGTGTGAGAGCTTAAAGAGTGCATTTTTGGTGTTTGTTTGAAGAAGGCTTGAAGTAGGAGGTGCATAGTTGAAAGGAGAGGCTATATATTTGGTGTCTTCTCTGTTGTGGCAGCCATATTGAGGTATAAAGTTAATACCTTGGTTATTTATTTGCTAGATCTCTTCATGTGGGAGTTTATGGTCATTATTAGCTCATTTTAGGACCATTCTTGGATTTGAGCATGTCATGAAGCTATGACTTCAGATCTGGACATCTCATGGCCTCTGTTGACTTAAAGTTGCCATCTTTATTAAGTCATGGCCTTCCTTCATGCCCTATATCCCTTAAGAAGCTATGATTGAGTGTTTTAGCCCCCTTAATGCCACGCATGGACGTAAAGTCAGCAACTTTACGTGGTATCTCAGCCCTAGGGGATCAGATCTATAGTTTGGAGCTTTAGACTCGCTTAGAAAGTGGCTGAATGAGTTAAGACTGGGCAAACTCGACGAGTTACCTTTCCAACTCGGTGAGTTGGACCGGGGTTTCCCCGATCTTCTGGACACTGTTTGAACTCGACAAGTCGTTGCGATAACTCAACGAGTTGACTAGAGTTTTCCCTGGTTTTCTGAGAACTTAAGGAACTCGATGAGTCGGCAGGTTCACTCGACGAGTTGGGTCAACATGGACTGTTGACTTTGAATTTGACCATGGTTGACCAAGTTTGACTTTAAGGGTATCTTTGGTATTTTGGGATTTGATGAAGTTAGCCGCATGGTGGTTGTAGCAGTTGAGTTTGGGAGTAGGAGTTAGGATTTGATCTTACCAGTTCGACATTCCTTGAGAGGTGAGTCTCCTCACCATACCAATGGGTCGAAGGCACTAAGGCCAGCCCATTATTTGCTATGTGTTGTGCTAGTTGATTATTTGCTATGTGATATGCTTGTTGTATTTGTGATACTTGCACGGAAGACCTCGGGGGGTTCCCGAGGCAGTTGGATTTCAAACCATGTGGGGGTTCCCATGACATTCCAGGCTAAAACCATGTGGGGGTTTCCATGGCATCCTTATATGTTTGTAAAACCTTGGAGGGTTTCCATGTCATCCGCATATGTTTGTAAGACCATGTGGGGGTTCCCATGGCAATGGGATAAGACCATGTGGGGGTTCTCATGGCACCCGGTGTAGACCTTGGAGGGTTTCCATGGCATCCTTATATGATTGTATGCATGGCTTATGTGGTATATGTAGCTGATATAGCTAATATGGTTTATGCGATTATGTGGATTGTGTGGGGTATGCTTTGGGGATTTATGGTTTCAGGTACTTCAAGATCTAAGGGTAAGAGTCCGGCATGATAGCGCGACATGCACTCTCTGGCGTTTCATTTGGGACACTTTGATTTTATGAATAATTTATCTGATGTTATGGATTTTGAAAACAAATGTGTTTAGAATTAAATTTTATATCTTATCGAAATGTTTTGGTTATTTAAAATGAAAAATTTTATTGGAAATTTGGGTTGTTACATAAGACTCTTTATTAGTTTATGACTTGCATTTTCATAGAATATCACTATAAAAAGAGTGTCATTCTGACAGAATAAAACAGGGTATGATTAAAAATATGTTTAGATTAGAATTATTTAAACTAAATTAATTTTAAAAAAAATCAAAAATCAAAATTAAGATAATCAAAGATCCATTAAAATCCGAAAATTTGTTTTTTTTAAATTGTGTTTCCTAATTTTAAGGCAATGCAAATGTACAATATTACCCTTCTTTTAATAAAATGACATTATTCTATTTTTCTTTTATTTAATAATATATGTAAATCATTTTCTTAAAATAACTAAAATGATTGGTACATATTAGTCATTACATCCACACAATAATTAGTTAGAATACAATAACCTAATCATATTATATATATCTATATATATATAGATATATACTATATATATATATATATATATATATGGTATCATAGCCAAGAAAAGTTTTTGGGGTGGTTATGAATGATATATTTATTTCAAATTTATTTAATTTGGGTTTAATATTCTCTAAGAAATTTATAAGTTTTAATAAGTATGATTCAGAGACAAGACCAGTGATTGGTTGGATTAGCGTAAAACGCGCAGATAAGGACGTAAGTCGCGGTGCCGGACCACAATCATCGTCGGGACGATTCACCTCTGTTCATCGCTATTAAAACAAGTAAGTTAGTTTTCTTATGAATTTAAAGCAAAATTAATTAAATATGAGTAAATTTCAGGCATACTATCCAAAAAAATATATCCTGGTAAAATATCGACAATGAACAAGATTATTGATAATCAAATAAATTCTATTGAGGAAACCGTTAATGGCATAGAACAAAGTTTGGAATGATTGGACAATACCTAAAACTAATGTTAATATAATATATAGAATAAGAACTTTTGACTATTTTCAAGGTTATTCTATTAAAATGACAGAACAAACTTTGACTATTGGTCAAACCAACAAAATTTACATTTGTTATCATCACGATCTATTCTAGAGCATAGAATGAAATATAAATTTTTACATGTCGGGTTTAGTCCAAATGCTATCCAAGCCTCTATTTAGACTTGGAATAGATGCCCCTGTTCTCCTTATTTTAAGAGACAAGAGACATAAAGATTTTCAAAATTTATTTTAGCTATGGCTGAAAAAATATTGCTAACGGACCTATTATTTCATATGTTATCCAAATTTTTCTGTAGGGTATTTGATAAAAATATTTTAGATACTTTAGGTGTTAACTGTGTAGAAACAAAAAATTTAGAATTTAAAGATGATACAAAGCCTTTAACAATAATTTATCGTGTTTGTTACAAAAAACTATGACAACTACACTTGAACCGAAAACACGTTTATCAAGTCCTAAAAATGAAAAAATGTTATCGATCCAAAACCACTAGATCTTCAAAACAAATCTCAAATATTATAGAATATAATGATGGTTCAATAGATAATAAATTTTTCTCTTCCTTAAAATTTCTCATCCAGATTATCAACTTCTTTTATCCCAGAAACCAGCTCTTCAAATCTTCGTTATCAATTAAAAGATCTTAAATAAAACTGTTGACTATACTAATTCTATCCCAAACCAGTATATCAAATGATCAAAATAGTGAAAATAGTTTCCTAGTCTACTAATCAGATGTTATTGATGAACTTCAAATTTTAAACAACAAATATGAGTTCTAAAGTACAAATTAATTGTCCAAAAATAATAAGCTTTGGGATAAATATGTTAAAAAGACTTGGAAGATAAATTCTAATATATGCAAAACATTCAACTTTAGAAGAAACTAGAACTCATGAAGAGTAATAATTTATACAAAATACTTCCATAAACTAATAAATATAATAAACAAATAGAAAAAATTTCTAGGCTAACGATAGGAATAAAAAAATACGAAAAATCAACGACGTCATAATTTAGAATCAATAAAACATATTTCTTCAATCCTAACAAAAACAACCTGTTAAAATGAATTTTTCGAATTTAGAATATCAAGTTGACTTTGATTACTTAAAAAATATTGAGTATTATAAAGATTACAATATTAAAAAAAGAGCTTGGCACGAAGAAAATTTTCATACTACTTAAGATTTCTCCATTTAGGCCTTTGGGAAGATTATGTTTTATCAAATAAAATTCATTTCCTTTTTTTCAATGGTTTGAGTTAATTTATGCCCTAAACATAAAATAAATTACCCATTTAAAAAATGATTCTATCACTCCTATTTTAAAGAAAAAAATATAAAGATATTATTTCTAATAAAGAAATTATTGCTAATTTTCCACCAAAAGGAGAAATTATTATTAACGATATGTTTATTGCGACTCCTTTAGTTCAAGCCCCAAATCAATTAACTACAAAAGGTCTTCAAAAAATTATTTACCAAAATAATTATGCAAACGAAACCTTATCTAGTATTACCGAGCATTTAGTTAAAATTGAAGAAAAATTTTCAAAGACAAGAATGATAATAAGGCAAGATATGGCAAGCACTAGTAATATAAGTTTTGTTCTTGTCAAATCGATGGTAATTTTAATCTAGGAAATACGGA